GAGGCAGACTGGCAGGCAGCAGAGCAGAGACTTCAGGGATCAGGCATCTCTGGGGTGTCACACGGATCCCCAGAGTAGGAGTCTCCAAGGGCAAGCGTGAGCAGCAGGTGCAAAGGCCCTGGGGGTCGGAGTAGGCAAACTGTGGTCAGGGAACAGCAAAGGAGGCGGTGTACACTGAGCACCAGGCAAGAATAATAACCAGAGATGGGGTTGAAGACACAGGAAGAGCCAGATGGCCAGGGGCCTTGCCAGCCTCGGGAGGACTCTGGTGAGAGGGACCCGGGCCAGGGCTCTGAACAGAGGATTGCTGTTTTCAAAGGACAGTAATCTCCAGTTACACAGAGCCTGTGTGTGTTAGCTGTTCTCCGCACTGGCATGCAAGGAGGTCTCTAATAACCTGTGTGAGACAGGAAACAGGATGTCCAGAGCAAGTGAAGCAACTGCCTGGGGTCACACAGCTCCAGACGACCCCAGGCGGCTAGCCTCCAAAAGCCCAGTCTGTCCTCAGACTCACCACTTACCTGAGAATGACCTTGAACTCCTAATGCCCCTCCCTCCACCTCCTAACTGCACCTGGCTGGCTACCACGATCCCTCTGCATTGTGCTTCTCAGCCTGTCTGTCTCCTGATATACAGCCCTCCATAATTCCCGCTGCCCGGGAAATGCCAGCTGAGTCACCGACATTGGCTTGGGCCGCGCTGTGAAACTGGCTGCTGCTGTAGGTAGCCGAGTGGTTAACATGATGGATGACCTCTCTGGTTCCCCACCCCCTCCTATCCTGGAGTGCCCCCTGAGAACCACCCTCTACTTATGAGGTCCAGAACTACCCAGCAACCCTGCCATGGTGTCATGGAAACAGCCCTGTGTGCCTACTACGGAGATGGATGGCCCTGGGCTGTGACTGTAGATCCTGATGGCCCAGGAGCCAGCCTGGTAGCCAGGAATCTTCAGGCACAGCAAGGGTGGAGAAAACAAGCAGGACCTGTATTGCCTCCAACTCCATTAGAGAGGGGGCCGAAATCCCCAGAGCAGAGTGTCCTGGGCTTGGCAACTCCACGGATAGGGCGAGGGAACTGGAGTAACTAAGGGCCCCAGGCCAGACGCACAGAGGGAATCCTCAACTGGAGAACTGAGTGAGGAGGCCTCCACATACTTGTGGTCAGGAAAGCAGCTGGCCCTGGTGATGCTTGCCCGTCACCCCAGTATTTAGGAGGTGTAGGTAGGAGGATCAGTTCAAGGCCATTAAATCCAGGGGTGGGGCAGTGGCCCTGGGGTGCACAGGCACCGACTGGATCCTTGCTGTCACTTACATTCCCTGGCTAGTCTGCTCAGCCCCCATCTGTGTGGCTCACAACCTGGCTGGGAACTTCATTTGCAGACAGGAGCCCCTGCAGCCAGCTGACAGGTTGTGTTCATCTGTGCTTTGGGCACCAGAAACCACAGCAGAAACTTGCACGGTTGGGTGGCTGCATCTGCGTGGGTGTTCACGCTTCTCCGTAGATGCTGTGTGACCTGCAGCCCGCCCACCACTCCCCAGCTATGGGCCCACACATGCGACCCTTGCAATGCTCCACGCGCCAGGCCTTGTGTTCTACACTCTGCAGGGCAGGGGACACCATTTAAGGAACTAGATCACCACTTCATACAGGTACAGCCCAGGGGCATCCCTGCAGTAAAAACCTTCAGAGGCAACCCAACCTAGTTCATTTGTTTGGAGGGGGGTTGAGGCAGGGTCTCAGGTAGCCCAGGCTGGCCTTCAAGCCCTGGGATTGCAGGTGTGTGCGCCCCTATGCCCAGCCAAAGGTGGAGGACTTTGTGTTGTGCTCCATTGGACTCCACTCTCCAGTGCCTAAAACTGAGCGGGGTGCAGGGCTCACTAATGAGTTGTTCTGAGGATCCTTCTGGTCCGTACTGCCATTCTGGTTTTTCATTTTGAAATACTGCTTGTTTGTTTTGGAGATATCCCAGGCTGGCCCCAACTTGCTGTGTAGCCAAGGGTGACCTTGAATTTCTGATCCTCCTGCTTCTACCTCCCAGTGTGTTGGGATTGTAGACGCCACCACCAGAGGCCACCATCACCAGACACTCAGGTCACATTGTGCTGGGTTGGAACCTAGGGGGGCACTGTGCCTTGCAGGCAAGCTCTCTAACCCTGAGACTCAAGTGTCCCCTCTTTAAGGACCATCTGTGAGGCAGCAGGATCCTTTTTGGCTCTTCACCAGCCTACGTAAAGAGCCTGAGGTTTTCCCATTTCACGCTCATGAACACAACACTGATTCAGTGTGTGTATGTGGGGGGAGGGGACTGGTCTGTGGTCACATGAGTTGGTCACAGTGAGAGCGGCTTCCAGACCCTTGATGTGTCCTGTCATGTTGTCCCGGACTCTTCCCACAATCCTCACCTCCTCTCCAGTTGGAGATGGGGGGCTGGTGGCTGCTCACTCAGCAGGAGAGGCTGGCAGAGGCTGGGGCCCCAGCTCCCCTAGAGGTCCTGCAGACCCACCAGGACCTAAGCTCCCAAGTGCCCCCACCTGAGGCCTCCACTGAGGCCCAGAACATCCCTAGTAACAGACTTGGAGTTGGTTTACCTTCCACCGCATGGTACAACACGGTACAATATGGTGAGCAGCACACAGGGGCAAGCACGGGCAGAAACACTTGGTGTCCAGCAGAGAGACACTGAGGTGGGAGAAACCTAGAATGACAGGCTTAGCATCCTCTGTCCCCAGCAGCCCAATGCTACAAACCTGACCACAGGCGGCCTTGTTGGTTCAAGTGAGCAAAGTGAAGGCTGCTCCCTGCCTGGTGTGCTAGCCAGATTCCAGCCATGGAGCCTGCGCAGTGACGCCAAAGGCCTCCTGGATCCCACATCCAGCTTTGAGAACCCCTAGTCTCCAGGTTGGACCCAGGAGTGTCTGCAGGCTTCTGCTCATTGCCAGGGACTCCCCGGTCTACAGCAGCTCCTTGTTCAGAAAGTCTGCCATCATCGCCACGCGTGCCAAGCCAGGCCTCCCTCAGAAGCCAGTCCTGGACCCCTCAGGGCTGGGAAGAGGCCTCACGCCTGTGCCAACACACACACACACACACACACACACACACACACACACACCCTTTTCCTGCCCCCCAGACAGCACCAGCGCCCATGCCCGTGCCCCACAGTCTTTGTGGTTCACGGAAACCCTGAAGAAGAGGGAGACAAACAGGTGGCTACCCCACAGATGCAGCAAAGGAAGAGGAGGAGAGGAAAGGGCCATAGGACGTTGTACACTGAACCAAGCCTTTGCCCCAGGGGGTCTATATGCCCCCTATGAACCCTGCTGCCAGTCAAGGCCTCGCCCTTCCCATCGCGCCCCCACTTGAAGGAAGTGATTAGCAGAGCAATTAGGGCACAGGTGAGTCATCTGGTCACAAGGCAGCCTCCTGGTTGACTCAGCACAGCTGGCCCTCCACCAGCCTCCAGCTCAGGACTCTGAGTCAAGGCCTCCATGGGCCCCTGGCCAGGAAGCCCTGGAGAAAGCTCCTGGCCCCCAAAGTGTCCCTAGCTGTTTCCAAACATCGCCTACCACCCCCACAGTGATGGCTGGGCCATAAATGGGGTCCCCCACCCCCTTCAGTGAGCCAGGCAGTATTCTACCACCCCAAGTACGTGGCCCCTCACCAGGCACCAGCAGACAGCCACTGTGATTGGTCACTGTGACTTCAGTGTGGCCAAGCCAGGCACGGTGGCACTCAGCTGGAACCCCAGCACTCAGGCAGAGATTGACTCCAAGGCCTGCTTGGCTTCCTTCTTCAGACCCGGCCTCTGACGATAGTGTACCTTAGCTGATGCTGGTCTTTAGCTCTGTAACCCACTAAGGTGGGAGGTGGGGGTAACACAGACAAGTTTCTGCAGGGAGGCTCAGAATCTGGGTCTGGGAGAGGAACGGGTACCCTCTGTGATAGCAGGGACCCCATGGACCACAGCACTTACTGGTATCCCAGGAAACCAGGATGGAGACCCCCCCTCCGTGCCCAAGTTCCCTTACCTCTGAATGTAGGCAGCACTGGGTCTCTATACTCTGGGCCTCCCCAGAAGCCACATGGCATCCTCTGACCTCCCTCAGGAGCCCTGAAGTGCCCAGTCATGACCAGGGGTCAACATCTAGTCTGGAAAGACATTCTCCCCCTACCGTCTGTTAGTTTCAGGTGTCAGTTTGACACACCTGGGAAGAGGGACCCTCATCTGAGGGATTGCCTCCGTCAGGCCTGCCTGTGGGGATGCTTTGGAATATTTTCTTGATTTCTAATTGATGCCAGCGGGCCCAGCCACCTGTGGGCAGCGGTTTGCTTGGGCAGGTGGTCCTGTGCTGTGTAAGAAACATACTGCTCCTGCGGAGGACTGGACTCTGGTTCCCATCAACCACATAGGGGCTGCTTGCAACTCTCTGTAACTCCAGCTCCAGAAATCTGACACCCTCCTCCAGAGCTGCGGCCACCTGTTCTCAGCAGATGCACACACCATACACACGTGTGTACACATGCACACATGCATACATACATGCGCGCGCTCACACACACACACAGACGCACATGCAAGACTTAAAATAAATCTTAAAAGAAAATAAAAAGGTAGCTGAGAAACGCAGAGGAGATAAGCCTGTAGAATGGCCCCTCCCTGGCCTCGGTTCAATTCTTGCCTCCGGGTTCCTGCCTTAAGTCCCCACCCTAACTCCTCTCCACAAGGGACAGCAAACTCCAAGATGAAATGAACTTGCTTTTGGCCAGTGTTTTATGACAGCGGCAGAACAGAAGACACACCAGGTTCAGGGGACCCTTCCTCGCCTGCACCCCCCAGTAGCCCTCCTGGCCAGCTCTCCTGAAGCAGGTCCCTGCAGTTCAGGGCCCCTTTCCTGGCTTTGTCCCTGAGCTGGCTGGGCAGGAACTTCCTGCTGGGAGAATTCCCGGATCCTCCTGGTGAGGACACAGAGAAGCCTGGGAACAGAGAGAGGGAAGTTGGGGACTCTCCTTCTGGCTGGCTGACTGGCAGGCAACATCCCCAGGTTAGCCTAAATCCTCCTGCTCTCCCTGCCCCGTGCCCAGAGGTAGCCCCCATGCTCTGCAGGCATGAATTAGGGACTAGAGACCCTAATAACCAGGTTCACTCAAGGAGTGAGGCAGACGGGTGGTGGCCAATGACAGACAGCCCAGGAAGCTAATGGCAAACTAAGCTTTTATTAAGAACATCATCTACCAGAGTTTGACGGGTAGAGACAGCACTGGGCACGCCCACCACACACACACAGGATGCTATTCACCCCAAAGCCCAGGGCCACAGGGACTCCTTGAATATGTCCCAGGAAGAGACACACGCTGGACTGGGGTCCCAGGGGTGTGGGCGCCGTGGGCTCCTGACGACAGGGGCCTCACTCTGGAGGAGGCCAGTTTCCCATCTCATCCATCTCCTCCAGGAGCAGGTGCTGTGGGCAGACACGGGTAAAGAAAGATATTCCCTGCTCTGCATTCGGAACCTTCCCATCTACCTCCCTCAGTTCACCCCGGCCACCTTTTCCAAACTTTCCCCACCACCCCAAAGCTGACCCCAGGTTCACCAACCCTGAGCCAACTACCCCCATAATGCAGGAATACTTCAACCTCTGGTTCCTTGAAAGCTAGGGACCCAGACATTCCCCCCTTCCCTTTGTCTGCATACTCTTTCTTCAGCTGCCTTAACGTCCATCCCTCAGGTCCCTGGCATTTGCCCACCGCTGCCCCCCTTAGCAGTGGCGGGGAGAGGATGGGGCTTTGAAACACCCACTGTGGAAGGCAGGAGTCGAGGATGTACCTCTGAACCCCCAAAGAGAGGACTGGGGGCCCCACGTGCACTATCCAGGAACCCCCAAGTCTCCTGGTACTGCCAATGCTAGCCCAGGACTGTGAGCGCAGGATGGGCAGGGCAGGTGGGCTCACAAGGTCCTGGAGGAGGACAGATCCCAGGACTGGAGCCCTTCTGTATGAGGGGAAAATCCAGTGCCCACACAGCTTGTGTGGTTAGGGGTGTGGGGGCATCAGGCTCCTGGACACGGACATGAGGGCAAGCTTAGGATGTCCTTAGTTCCCACCAGGTGTGAATTCCTGTCAGAGCCGGCCATTGTGTCCTCCTGTGTCGACCTGTGTCCCCCTCCACACCCCCACACCACACACAGACACACCCCCACACCACACACAGACACACCCCCACACCACACACACTGAGGAGCCTGTGAAACCTGTTACAGAGTCTCAGCGGGTCCTTAAAGAGGTCAAGGACCAAAGTCAAGATGACACAACAGAATGGTCTGACTGGACTCCTGTGTGAGCCCGGGACTCTTCCCTTTTGTGAACCACAGACCGTCAGGGCAGAGAGTCCCATGAGTCAGAGAGGGGACGGAAACTGACTCGGAACTGGCGCGGTGACATGTGGTTGCTCCCCAGAGCCTGTGTGTGTCTGTGGGCTTTGGTGTGGATGATAGGGAACAGGAAAAGATATGCGTAGTTCAAATGCAAGCCCATCTTGATAAATCTCCCCATCTATAAATCCAGCCCTGGGGAAGTAGAGGCGAAAGGAATAGAAGCCCAAGGCCAGCCTCTGCTACTACAGTCAGGCTAGCCTGGGCTACAAGAGCCCAGCTCAACAAACAAACAACAAAACAGGGACAATATTGGTTCAAGTGAGAATGTTAAAGCATGTGTGCGTGCATATGTTTGCACTTGTGTGCATGTGTGTGGTGCGTGTGCGTGCATGCGTGCACGCGTGCACACGTGTGTGCACTGCTCCCAGAAAGAGGGTAGTATCTCAGACCCTCCTCTAGAAGAGTCTAGGCAGTAGGGGCTGCAATCAAGGACCAGGGTCCTGTGAGGTAAGGGGCCCTCACCCCACTTTCATGAGTTAGCAGATTAGATGGGCACCCATGCATACCTGGCCATCTACCATGCCAGCCTCCTCCAGCGTGATGTCTGGCTGAGTGAGCAGCTCCCGGCCCTCTGGGTTGCCCACCTTCCAGAGGCGGGACTCCCGCCGTACTGCCAGAATCTTCTTTAGCTCTGACTCCACGAAACCTTTGAGGCAAAGAGGTGAGCTGAGTGTTGTGGGGACAGACGTCTAGACAGACATTGCTGCTCCTCTTCCTGGCATGTGTCCCACAGACCCTCAAAAACCACCAGGTTTCCTGTGACGCTCATGGTACCCAGCTCCTCTGCAGGCAGCTGCAGGTAGGGTGGGGGAGGCTGGTCCCCAGAAAGACTGGGACAGAACCCTGGGACCTTCAGCTCTGGAAACTGAGGCAGAGTAGTGTGGTGGTGGCGCACACCTTTAATGCCAGCCCTTGGAAGGCAGAGGCAGGCAGATCTCTGTGAGTTCGAGGCCAGAGTGGTCTACAGAGTGAGTTCCAGGACAGGCTCCAAAGCTACACAGAGAAACCCTATCTCAAGAAAAAAAAAGTTGAGGCAGGAGGATCACAAGTTCAAGGGTAGCTAGACAACTTCGTAAGAATGTCTAAAATAATAAAAACAGATTCCTCAAACCCTAAATCCCATGAGATGCTCAAAGAAGTTATTTGAACACGAGCAGAGACTCACAGGACCCTGACTCCTGGCCTGGGCTTGGCATCAGGGTCTAAAGCAGAGGGCAGTGTGCTCAGACCTGCTCAACCAGCAGGGAGCTGGTGCCAGTAAATTGTGTGTTTGGGCCTGGATAGGCGAGGAGGGTGCTGGCAACCTCAGAGGGCTCTGTGTTGCTTGTTAACTGGTGTGTGGACAATTGAGGCCACACATTTGACATGACTGAGCAAGCGTGCAGGAGAAATGGGGTTTCTCATCCCTGCATTCTCAGAGTGTGGGGCAGGCGGAGCCTGCCAGGCAATCTCCACTGGATAGCCACCCCCTTCCTCAGCTCTACCACCCAGGCCAGCTCCAGTAAAGTCTTCAGGTACCTGAGTCAGCCAGGCACAGCCTCTCCCACACCCCTGGGCTCCTCCTACAGTGGGGGCGGGAGGCTGCTCCCGGGCAGGGTGTGCTACTGCCCCCAGCTGCCCGAAGTGAAGTCCCAGCTCTGTCGATAGTAGCTGTGTGCCTTGGGCAAGTTACTGAACCTCTCTGTGCTTCAATTCCCACGCTGTCAGTGGACTCAAACAACTTGTGAAGTCACCCACTTCAGAGGTGTCAATTCACCTTTTTAAAGAACGGCCCTAGCAATGGCTGTGTAAGCACACACAACATCTTGGGGGTATTTGGGCTATCGTTGTGTTTAGGGTTTTTTGTTTGTTTGCTTGCTTGTTTGTTTTTTAAAGTGTGTATCTGTGCACAGGTGCCTGTGGAAGCCAAAAGAGGGCATTGGGTCCCCTGGTGCTGGAATCACTGGCAGTTGTGGGCCACCCAACGTGGGTCCTGGGGACTGAACTGGGGTCCTCTGCAAGAGCAACAAGCGCTTTAACCGTGAGCCACCTCGCCAGGCCGAATGAACCAACCGCTGTTGTCCGATCCTACTCTGAGACATAGGGTTGCTGAGCCGGAACCAGGCTCGGAGGTGTTCTCCCTCGGGCAGGAGTGGGGGGGGGGCGAGTTGGGTGGGGGGGTGCTTTGTGGTCCGGCTGGACCCTAGCTAAGCCTGGAGGTCAACCAACAGCGCACCCGCGCAAGTCAGTCACCGTCGGTCTCTGCTGCCACCTCGCGGTCAGTGCTCGCGTTTCTTCCCTCAGCCGCCGGCCAAAGCCGGACTCTTACCCACTGTATCCGTGGCCCTAAATATCTTCTGCAGCTGAGACTGGGAGGTGGCAGTGACGCGCGGGGCACACAGCTTGAGGTAGCTGTCCTCCTCCGCTTCCTCTCGCTCCCCTTTCTCCTCATGGGACAAGCCGTCCTTGGGAGGAAACTGAGGCACCCCTGGTCTCTGAGCCTGTGGAGAGAGATGATCAGGACTACAGGCCTGTGTCTTTTCCTCCCCAAACCAGTAAACAAGAGGGGGCAGATCCCAGCTCAAAAGGGAGAGAGTCCCTGGGACCCAGTCCCGCTGACCTTGGCCATGGCTGATTTCTGCAGTTGTTTGTATAAGCCAAGGAGATAATTCCATGGGGTGGACCCCACCTTGCAGGAGGTCAGCCTGAGGTCTCCTGTGGAGAATCGGTCAGTGAGGCCGGCAGCAGGTTGATGAGAGAGACTTCTCAGAGGGAGAGGAAAGGGCCTGAGGGTGGGCCTACCCTCTTCTGATGGTTTTTTCCTTTTGTTAATTTTGTTCATTACACTTTTCTTGTTTTTTTTTTTTTTTTTTTTNAGAGAAAAGCAGCATTCAGGGTGCTCCCTCCCTGCACCAGTGGACAGATGTTAAGCTGAGATGGGAGAAGGAGCTTGGATATTTTGTCATTTTTCTTGTTTTTTTTTTTTTTTTTTTTATTTTCGAGACAGGGTTTCTCCGTAGCTTTTTGGTTCCTGTCCTGGAACTAGCTCTTCTAGACCAGGCTGGCCTCGAACTCACAGAGTACACTTTTCTTTCTTTATCTTGGGTATACACCATGGCGTATGTACAAGGGGTCACAGGACAGCTTGTATGAATCTGTTCTCAGCTTCTAGCCTGTGAGTCCCAGGAACGCGGGTCCTCGAGCTTGGCAGTGGCCCTCTTTACCTAAAGACCCACCTCGCTGCCCCACAGTCTTATTGCTTTGTGTGGATTTGTTTTGCTTTCTGTTTTGTAGACAGCAGCTCATGAAGCCCAACCTCCAGCTCTGCTATGTAGCCAAGGCTGGCCCCGAACTCCTGACTTCCTGCCTCTGCTCCTGGGGGTTCCAAGTGTGGGCCACTATGCTTAGCTGTGCTGTTGCTATGCTATGACTTTTCTTGTTGAGAGAAGTATGTCCCTATGAAGCTGGGCGGACCTTGGACTTGTGACAGCTCTTTCCTCCCTCTAAGTGCTGGACAGTGCCTACTGTGTGCCAGGCCGTGTCATCACTGCACCCGGCTGTGTCCTGTGTTAATGGAAGGCCCACTGAGTGTCAGGCCCAGTCACTGCACCCGGCTCTGTGCTGGGTCCGGCTCTGGTCCGTGACAAACAGCATCTCGCTGACGCTTGAGTGTGCCTCTGAGACACGAGCTATCTGGTTTCCACCTTACAGACAAGGAGCGTGGGGCAGAGAGGTTCAGCAGTGCTCCGCTGTCTTCTCAAGTTATGGCTCGTGCCCTGCAGGGCTCCCCACCCGAGAGGGCCTAGAGGACAGGTGTCCATTTCTGCCCCCCTCCAGCTATCATACTTACCTATCTCAATTAGGCAGGGCCCCTCCTCTTCCTCTTTGACCAAGGCCCCAGGGGCGAGTGCCAGTGGTCCTGGAACCCACTGCAGGCATCCTTGTTCCACCTCCAGGGCCTGAGCAAAGTGCTCCCTAATCCCAAAGCACAATCAGGTGAAGGAGTCAGGAGACACCCAGAGGTGTGGCCATGCCCTGATCCGCCTGGGGTCTCTTCACAGATCTGTTGGGTACCTTTCACACAGGGAGTAGCTGCTAAGACCAGGAAGGGAGGGTGAGCTGGCAGGCTGGGAGCACTGGGCTATAGAAGGGGCTGAGAACAGAGGTGCCAGCCAGCACGGCTTCACTCTTCAGGACCCTTTGCCCCAACCCTTCACCAGCCATGGGCCTCCAGCCTGTACCCTGCTCTCTCTGGACAATACCCTCCCCCCCCACCACAGCGCAGCCCCTCACCTGTCTGAGGCCCCAGAGGCCTCCCCTGCTGTCTCTTTCTCCTCTCCTTTCTTCTCAGACAGGTACCCCAGAACCTCCACGATTTCTCTGGTGGGGACTGATGTCACCTCTACACCCTGGGCCCGGAGCTTCAGGGTATCCTTGGAGGTGAGGGTCTGGGACCCCATATCCCCAGTGCCCAGCCCAAAGGCATCATGAGGCGGCACGTTTGAGGGGGCTACAGAGAGGACCCTGGGTACCACTGCACGTAGCCTTGGCCCCCTCCTCCAACAACCTCCCCGGGGGCCAATCCTTGGGGAGACAACCTCCTGCTCTTGTGAGGGGCTGGGTCCGCTCCTGGCCAGGGACTTGTTAGAACTCCCTTTGCTCCCGACCAGGCTTCGTAGAAAGCGCAACACGGAGGAGCAGCCCAAGATTCGTGACCGTGACCGAGGGGTCCGAGCCTGGGCTGCCATCCTGAGGGGACCGTGACTCAAGAAGCCATGGTAGGCAGCCAGCCCAGGACCAACTGCTAATAGAAACCTCCAGTTGGAAAGCTCCAGGAGTTCTAGAAGGCAAAGGAGAGGTGGGGGTGGGGGAAGAATGACTTGGAGCAGTGGGGGCGGGGTGCTGCTGGGAGGAGAGGGGTACAGGGAGCCAGCCAGGGTCTGGAGACTGAGGGGAGGCGAGACACAGGAAAACTACACCCATAGGTGACAGCACAGATTCTCCTGAGTCTTTTTCTTCCCCCTCCTCCTTTCATGCAGGGTGTCATGTAGCACAGGCTGGCCTCCATTTCCTGATCCTCCTGCCTCAGCCTCCCGAGTGCTGCGATGGTGGACCTGCATCAACACCCTCAGCACCATGTTGTTTTTTGTTGTTGTTTGTGTTTTGTTTGCCACTGGAGGGAGAAGATGGAGGGTGAGGGCCTGGAATCAGAGGCGGGAAATGCAGCGAAGAGTTGGCTTCCCCCTTGGCTGGGACCAGGCAGGCTCGGGAGGCTGCAGGAGTCCCTGTGCATCTACATCCGGCGGCCATCGAGCAACTTCCTCTAGAGGGAGCTGATCACTGCCGAAAGCAGCTGGCTCCTCTATGGTCACAAAGTCGCGAGGCTTCCTGGGCCAAGAGACAGCCCGAGGCGGCTTCCAGACACCGTGAATTCACTGACGCTGGTTCCTACAAGTCAGGCCTGAAACCTTGCCCCTGGGATCAGTGGCCAGACTCTCGGGATCTTTGTTCTTCAGACTGCTGAGCCATCCATATCTGGACCAGAACCGAGCAGGTATGCTGGCAGCCAGTGCCAAACCCCATCTTCCTAATCCTGGCACCTCCGGCTCAGGGCGGGGCAGAAAGCCCCGTCGGGTGGGAACGAACTGAGGAGGGAAGCCTTCAAGTTTCCCTGGGTGGTCCTCAAAGCCATGCTGGTGGTCTGCTCCAAACAGGGCCACCTCCAGCTGAACACTAGAAAGCTTCCCTTCTTGGCCAGGCTCTCGTGGCCCTGGATGCCAGGCAACTGGGACTTTTGTTATCTGGAAGGAGGGAAGGGTGAAGGTCAACGACAGAGACAGAAATGTCACAGTTGCTCCCCCCGCGCTGTCGCAGGACCCCTAGACCGATTCTAGGTACAGCCTAGTGGCTGGCTATGGGGAGCACGCATCATGGGTCCAGCAAGAGGATGGAATGGGAAGTCAGGTCACTTGGACGGGGGCCAGGTGGCCCAGGCCAGCACGGACTGTGGGGGCTGTTGAGAGTCCATCTGCTCCCCAACAGCAAGCCTCCAGGGTGGCTTTCTGAGGATGCAGTCAGCATCTCCTGGCCCTGGCGGCCTGAGATTACCAGGCTGAAGAACAAGGGCAGCAGGAAGGGCCCCCTGTTCCCGAAGGAGCGGCTGGGTGAACCATGCCAGGCAGAGGACTGTCTTAATGAGGCCTAGATCGTAGGGACGAGGAGAGGGCCTGCTCACCCTGACCCCAGCACTGATGAGGAAGGCAGCCAGCCCTGCAACCCCTTTTCAGAGAGTAACTTTCTAAAGTAGTCTCATCCAGCCTGCGCGGGACAAAGGTGAGGTGGGCGCCCAGTCCCAGGCAGCTAGGGGGCTTGGTCCGAGGTGAGTCTGCACCCTCTTCACTGACAGGAAGGTCACTTCCTGAAGTGATGGAGGCAGCTTGGGAAGGAGGGGGACTCTTGAAAGGGGGTGCAAACTGAAAGTGAAAGGTCGCTTGCTCAGGAAATAACTGTCGACACCAGCAGCGCACGGCCAACACTGGTCAAAGAGGAAAACGGGCTTGGGTGTGGCGTGGTAAAGGACACCTATAATACTAGTGCACCAGTGTCTGAAGCAGGAGGAGATCCCGGCTAGTGAAGACCTGCCTAACATAGATGAATAAACCAATAACCAAAAGAAAACACAGTTCGCACCAACGTGTAGGGGTGAGGTGTGAGGCAGGCTGGGGACACTCTGAGGGGTTCCACAGTGTAGGAGTGAGGCAGGCTGGGAAGGCTGTGAGGGATCCCATGGTGTAGGGGTGAGGTGAGGCAGGCTGGGGAGGCTGTGAGGGGTCCCACAGTGTAGGGGTGTGATGTGAGGCAGGCTGGGGAGGCTGTGAGGGGTCCCACAGTGTAGGGGTGTGATGTGAGGCAGGCTGAGGACACTCTGAGGAGTCCAAGGGTGTAGGGGTGAGGTGTGAGGCAGGCTAGGGACACTCTGAGGGGTTCCATGGTGTAGGGGTGTGGTGTGAGGCAGGCTGGGGACACTCTGAGGAGTCCCACGGTGTAGGGGTGAGGTGTGAGGCAGGCTGGGGAGGCTGTGAGGGGTCCCAGGGTTTAGGGGTGAGGAGTGAGGCAGGCTGGGGATACTCTGAGGGGTCCCACGGTGTAAAGGTGTGGTGTGAGGCAGACTGGGGAGGCTGTGAGGAGTCCCACAATGTAGGGGTGAGGCAGGCTGGGGAGGCTGTGAGGGGTCCCACGGTGTAAGGGTGAGGTGTGAGGCAGGCTGGGGACGCTCTGAGGGGTCCCACGGTGTAGGGGTGTGGTGTGAGGCAGGCTGGGGACACTCTGAGGAGTCCAATGGTGTAGGGGTGTGGTGTGAGGCAGGCTAGGGACGCTCTGAGGTGTCCCACGGTGTAGGGGTGTGGTGTGAGGCAGGCTGGGGACACTCTGAGGGGTCCCAGCTCACTTCCACGCAGGCTGTAACTGAAAGAAGCGATGCCCTGGGAACAAGCCATGAAGTAAGCGCTGAAATGTAGCTTAACTGGTAAAAGCATGGCCAGCGCACACACTCCTGGGTTTGATCCCAGCACACCTGGAACCTCAGCACTCACATAGTGGAGGCAGGAGGATCATTCTCTGACCTATACTCAATTTGAGGCCAGAGCGGGCTATGTGAGACTCTGTCTCAAAAGGCAAAAACCGAAAAATCTGGGCCAGCAGAGAGCTCAGCAGGTGAGGGGCTTGCTGCCAAGTGTGACAGCCCAGGTTCTGTCCCTGGAACCCACGTGAAGAAAGCAGGGAGCTCACTCCTGAAACTGGTCCTCTGACCCCCACATATATCTCATGAGCCACGCACACACAGACACATTAAAAATATATAAATCCAGGTTAAAAAACAAAAGCCGCCGATGGTGGCCTACAATCCCATCACTCGGGAGGCAGAGGCAGGAGGATCTCTGAATTCAAGGCTAGCCTGGCCTACAGCCAGTGCTACACAAAGAAACTCTGTCTCAAAAAAACAAAACAAAACTCTGCAAGACAAATGTCTTTTTCTGACCTTGTGCTTGTGATCCAGGTAACTCCTTTCTGTCCTGAATTTTCTAGCCTATAAAACAGTGTGCCAAATGCACCTGCATCGTGAGAGTTTTCTTTCTTTCCTTCCTTCCTTCCTTCCTTCCTTCCTTCCTTCCTTCCTTCCTTCCTTCCTTCCTTCCTTCCTTCTTTCCTTTTTTAGTTTTAGAGACTGGATCTCATTAGGTAGCCTTGGCTGGCCTAGGACCTCATGTGTAGACCAGACTGGTCTAGAACTCACTGTCTCCCAAGTGTTAGGACCAAACACGTCACATCACAACCATCCAGTTATGTCCATTTTCAACACACAACACAACTAAGTTCTCCTATGTGTCAGGAGTGTGTGGTAGACTCAAGAGTTTGCTCCCAGGCTCTTTGGGGAAGTGGGCCTGGATGAAGGCCCTCATGGCTGGGAAGTGGCAGGCTGAGGAAGGGGTAGGCAGCCTCAGAAACAGCAGAAGGGCCTCCCAGTCTGTCAAAGCAGCCTCACCCTGTCTTGGGGCGATCATGACGGAAATGAGAACCTTCAAGGCAGGGCTGGGCCACAGCCTCCTGAAGGTCTCTCCTCGCCTGGTCTCTGCGGGCTTCCTCAAGTTTGTGTCTCCCCTAAGGCTTCCAGCTAGGGGCTGAGTTCCCGCTGCTCCCAGGGGACGCCAGCAGGTGCTCCCAGAGGACTGCAAAGTCTCCCTGGCAGTAGGAGAAGTGGGGTTCCCCTCACTCCTACCAGCACAACCACTCTCTGGGGGTTCCAGCCCAATCAATGTCCCTGCTCTAATCTCTGCTTGCTCTCTTTCCTTCCTTCCTTCCTTCCTTCCTTCCTTCCTTCCTTCCTTCCTTCCTTCCTTCCTTCCTTCCTTCTCTCCCTCCCTCCTTCTCTCCTTTCTTCATTTCCCCCCCTTTCTTGAAACAGGGTTTCTCTGTGTAGCCCTGGCTGTCCGGGAGCTCACTTGTCAGACCAGGCTGGCCTTGAACTCAGGGATCCGCCTACCTCTAATTAAAGGCGTGCCACAACGCCCAGCCTTATCTCTGCTTTTTTTTTTCTCCTTCTCTGCAGGGTGAAAGTGCTGTCCACACAGACCTGAAAGATGGCATCTGGACAAGGACCAGGTCCCCCAAGGGAGGGCTGTGATGACTCCCCTTCTGGTAAGGCCCTCCTGACCCTCACCATCCCATAATCTCAAGAGTGAGCCGGCACGGGACTTCTCCAGGCACAGGGACCTGGTGGAGGCAAGTGAGGAAGGGAGGCAGAAGAGTCAGGCGGCTGCCCTGTGCCCTCAGTGGGAGGCAGGAGGAAGTGACCTGGCTTATCCCAGTGGGGGTGGGGTGGGGGCAATATGGCTGCCCTTTAAGTGAACTGGCAGGGGTTGGGGGGGTACAGGCTGGTCCCTGGACTTGGGGTTCATATTCCAGGTCTGTGCGAGAGGGGTGTAGTTGCTCATGTCTGCCATCCTAGCACTTGAGAGACTGAGGCAGGATTGGGACAAGTTTTAGGTCAGTCTGTCCTATGGAATGAATTCCAGGTCAGCCTGGACTAGGGTGAGGTAGAGACCCCGTCTCAGAAGGGAAACGCCAGTGCTGAGCGGAGGCGCACGCCTTTAAGCCCAGCACTTAGGAGACAAAGACAGAAGGATCTCTGTGATTTGAGGCCAGCCTGGTCTACAGAGTTCCAGGCTAGCCAAGGCTAAACACTGCCAGACCTTATCTCAAAAACTGAAGACAAGGCTGGGCCTTTAATCTCAGCACTTCTGAGGAAGAGGCAGGCGGATCTCTGTGAGTTCAAGGCCAGCCTGGTCTACAGAGGGAGTTCCAGGAGAGCTAGGACTGTAACACAGAGAAACCCTGTCTTTAAAAAACAAAAACAAAAACAAAAAAAAAAACAAAAACCCTGAAGACAGAGACCACCATCCTTCGACTGCCCAGTTTGGTTTCCTCCTGTTTCCTCCACTCTAAGGGCTGGAGACCTTGTCCACCTGGACGCTCAGGAGCCCGGTTCTGCACGTCGTTCTGCAGTTTGGCTCTTTGGAGAGCAGAATAGGTAGATGAGCGTACGTTACGAGCGGGTCCAATAAAGGCCACCTACTCACTGGGCGGCAAGGCTGAGAACCTGTGAGCTCCCCTTCTTCCACAAGGCGGGGGGTGGGGAGGGGGTGGGGGAGGCTCAGCAGTCCCAGCTCGTCGTCTAGTGCTGAAGCCGTGGAGGATTCCCGTGCGGGCCCTGGTCCACAGCAGAAGGCTGAGGTTGCTGGGTTCTATAACAGTGAAAGCAGCAATGTCAGGGTAGATGTACTTACCAACAGGCAGTGGGAATGGGCAGGTAGTGAGGGAAAGCGGGCAGCGGGGGAGGGCCAGCACTGGTACTGCCACTGGAAGGTCAGTGAGCTCACTGTGGGAAGGCCTTCCCCACTCAGTCTATCCTTCTGGAAGACACCATCAGATCTACCCAGAGGTGACTCTAGCTGATTCCAGATCCACTGACTTGACAACCAAGATGAACAGCTCCTCTCTGTCTGTCCGGCTGCATGACCTTGTGTACATGGCTTGGCCATGTGTGCCTCAGTTTCCCTGTCTGTGGGCTGGAGCTCATTTACATGCCAGGACAGTCATGAGGAATGGATGGTCACACTGGCAGAACACCGTGGGGGGAGGCTGCTGAGGCCCGCCTTCTCTCACTGACCCGCAGTTCTGACCCCCAGAACAGCAGGTTGCCCAGGACACGGAGGAGGTCTTTCGAAGCTTCGTTTTTTACCTCCACCAGCAGGAACAAGAGACCCAGGGTGCTGCTGCTTCTGCCAACCCCGAGATGGACAACTTGCCCCTCGAACCCAACAGGTAAGCTCCAGCCCCAGGGGCTGGTCCCTGGGAAGCGGGGGACCTGGGCTCCTTTCAGGGTCTGCCTGTCCCTCGCCCTTACGCGGCTCTCCTGCCCACAAACACTGTCACGAACCTTCAGAGGGGTGCAGCAAAGTCTGCCTTGACCCCATGCTGCCAGGAGAATCCTTCTCTGTCATGAGTCTGGTTTCCAGGGCTAACTTCCCATTCCCCGACTCTCGATCCCACAGCGTCTTGGGTCAGGTGGGCCGGCAGCTTGCTATCATTGGAGATGACATCAACCGCAGATACGACGCGGAGTTCCAGAATTTACTGGAGCAGCTCCAGCCCACGGCTGGGAACGCCTATGAACTCTTCACTAAGATTGCCTCCAGGTACCTATCCCTCCACCCCGCATACACGGGCTCCCTTGCTGGGGACAGTGTCGGGGTGAACTCAGACATGATACCCACCCGTCTCCTCCTCTCTGGGTCCCACTCACTCTTTTGCACACAAGCTCGTGTCTTTTCGGAGCTCTGACACCAACAACTAGCACCCTGGGGTGGGGACCAAGAGCCCTGCAGTTGAGATGGTCCAGCTTCTGTCAATTGCGATTCAGTGGCATCTAAGAGGCCACCTGGTGCGCAGGACAGAGAGTCACTCATACGTGGCTCGCATCTCACCTTGCCACTGGCCACCACTGTGAAACCTGGGAAACAGAGAATCTTAAATAAGTGTTCCCACTTTCAAACCACATCCACGTTGGTTTGATATTTGTTAGGTTTTTTTTTTAATCATTTTTTGTTTGTTTTTTTTTTCTGTGTAGCCCTGACTGCTCTGTATTTGCTCTTGTAGACCAGGCTGGCCTCGAACTCAGAGAGATCCCCCTGCCTCTGCCTCCCGAGTGCTGGGATTATAAGCGTGTGCCCACCAGTGCATACTGGATTCTGATCTTCTGTGCAGGGGTGCTCTATCTGCATATACATACATGTGCCAGTTGTGTGCCAGAGGCCGGAAGAAGGCCTCTGGAGCTGTAGTCACAGATGACTGTGAGCCATCATGCAGGGGCTGGGATTTAACTCAGATCCTCTGCAAGAGCAGCCAGTACTCCTAACCACTGAGCTACCTCTCCAGCTCCTTGGGTTTTTTTTGGGGGGGGGG